GGGGAAATTCCAATGAAGGCAAATGTCCCAGTTCAAGGCAGTTGGGCAAGAGGAATTAGTTACTTCTTTACCTTTTTTGTTATATTCTAGTCCTCAACTGATGGATGAGGCTCATGAACATTAGAAGGGCTATCTATTCAGTCTTCTGCTTCAAACATACTCACAGAGTCATCCAGAATAATGTTTGGTTAAACGTGTGGGTGCCTGTACTTGTATCTGTCAGCTTTCTGCTATCGTAACAAATATTTGAGATAAATCACCTTATAAGAAGGAAAGGTTTATTTTGGCTCATAGTTTCAGAGGTTTCTGTCCAAGGTCACTTGGCCCCACTGCTTTGGACTTTTGATAAGGAAGCAAATCACACTGGGGAACTTGTGACGCAGCAATATGCTCACTTCATGGTAGCTGGGAAGCAGGAAACATGGAGAAACCAGGATTTCAATATTCCCTTCATGGGTATCCCCCCAAATGACCTAAATTCAGTGCACTAGACCCCCCTTATTATGGGTTCCATCATCTTCCAACAGTGACAAGCTGAAGATCAAGCTTTAAACAGTTTACATGGGTCTTTGAGAGACGTTCCAGATCCAAACTATAGCAGCACCCTGTGACGCAAACAAACACATAAAATTTATGATCACATCATCAATTATAAGACATAACCATTATTTTGTGTAATATAATGTTATAGTTTAAATATGAAATGTTCCCTAAAGACTCATGTATGGAGGACATAATCCTCAATGCAGCAGTATTCAGAGGTAGGGCCTAGAGAGGTGCCTGGATCATGAGGGCAGTCACTGATGGAACAACCCACTGATGAATTCAGAGCTGAATGGGTTTTTCAAAGGCTGGGCCTAGCAGGGGGAAATAAGTCACAAAGTGGGGTTGGGGGGCGTTTAAAGAGTGCATCTGGTTCCTGGCTTCTTTCCCCTGGCTCTTCCCCTGCTCTCTTGCTTCCTGGCTGTCATGAACTGAACATCTTTCCTTTGCCAGGCCCTTTCACAGTGATGTTCCTGCCTTGGAGTCAGCTGACAATGGCCTGAAACCATGACCCAAAATAATTCTCTGAAATGACTTCCTTAGGTGTTTGGTCCCAGTGATACAAAGCTGACTAATGAAAGGAAGGAAGAAAGGAAGGGAGAGAAGGATGGAGGAAGGGAGAAGGGAAAAAGGAAAAAAGGAAGGAAGGAAAGAAGGGAGGGAAGAAGGAATGAAGGAAGAAAGGAAAAAGGGACAGAGGGAGGGAGAAGGCAAGCAAGTGAAGCTGACCTCTGTTTACTAAACAATTACATGCACTAATTAAAAGATGCTTCCAGGTTTCAAGAGTTGTTTACATGAGGAGAAAGAAAATGTCTTAAAATTGAAAAAAAAATGGGTCTGGACATATAGCTCAGTGGCTCTTCAGGGCCCTCGGTTCAAGTCCATGTACCCTAAGAAGAAGAAGAAAACAATACAGTAGCACACTAGTTTTATCTTACAGGAATCTGAAAAAAATAAATAAATAAATAGCCTACCCTCCCCCATAAAACACAGTTGCAGTTTTGATTTTAAAAGCTGCTGGTAAACTACAACCATAACTGAAATGACACCTTCCTTATAACAAGTTCTGTATTTATCCAGGGCTACTTTTTTATTCTACAGCTTGGAACTACAGAAACTAGGACCAAAAAAAGCCTTTTAAGCATAAAGCTTCTGAAGTTGCAAAAGGCATATTAAGAGATCACAGAAGTCTGAGTCTCATTAGATGAGATTTCAATGTGGATAAAAAGTTCAGGTTAGTAGTGAGACACACTGATCTTTTGTCATGTCCAGTATTGAGAAAATGGGATACAGACGGAAAAAAGAGGCATAGATGATAAAAAGGACATTAATCTACTTCCTCTTTTAAAAGAATGTGCAGTTACCTTGGAAATGATAAAAACACTCAAGGTAACAAAAAGGCAGATGAAAACGATGGCTGTGTACCTGTCACTGCTTCCTTACAATGCCATTAGACTAATCTTCCTATGCAACCCTCACCCTTTTTTTTTGCTATCTTCTCTAAGAGACGAATGTAGTGTTAGCCAAACTCCTTGTTTGGAAGGATTAGACAAATAATTTACCGAGCAGAAAGAATTTTTTCCCCAGTCCAAAAATGGGCAGCTGAGATGAATACACACTTCTCAGACAAGGAGATACAAATGGCAAACAAATATATGAGAAAATGTTCAACATCATTAGTCATTCGAGAAATGCAAATTAAAACAACACTGAAATTCCACCTTATCCCAGTAAGAATGGCTAGCATTAAGAAATCAACCAATATCAAACGCTGGCGAGGCTGTGGAGAAATAGGAACCCTTCTCCACTGCTGGTGGGAATGCAGACTGGTGAAACCACTGTGGAAATCAGTTTGGATATTCCTCAGAAAAGTAGGTCTAGAGGTCCCATTCAACCCAGCTATCCCCCTGCTGGGTATTTTCCCAGATCTAAAAACATCATATCACAGCGATATATGTGTACCTATGTTCATAGCAGCACAATTTGTAATTGCTAAATTGTGGAAGCAACCCAAATGTCCATCCACTGAGGATTGGATAAGAAAATTGTGGTACTTTTATATAATAGAATATTACTCAGCTACAAAGAAAGATAAACTCGAGGCTTTTATAGGTAAATGGTCACAACTAGAGACCATATTC